AACTCCTGCCTGTTTCATATTTATTATGTATTTTAAAAAAATCCCAAATAAGTGATATTAGCCCAGAGATACTGTTTTTAAATTTGACTTTCCCCTTCTGGAGTCTACAGTAACCCAAATTAAGCTTTTCAGATCACTCATTCCCCATGGGAATGATGCAACCTCACCAGCAGTTACCAACTATCACAAAAGGCGGCAAAACTGATGGTTACACACGTACCAGAGAGCTGGGTTCGCATTGTGCGGGCAACAGGATAAAGAGGGGTTACTGTTTAAACTGATGCAGCAGCAGTGTAGGCAGTAGAATTTGGTGAAATTATATATTGAGAGCAGCTCTTGACTGGTTTTGTCATGCATCTTACAGCTTAAGTGCTGTGCCTGCAACTATATATAACTACTTTGAGTGACTGCCCTTGTTTCCAGCACCACACAAATGTAGCAGTAGAAACAAATGGACACATAACACTTGTGTGTGTTGTAGTTTCTGCTGAGTTACTGCTACACAGCTGAAATGGTGTTTGATGCAACACAGACCCATACATTCAGCTTAGCCTGGCCTCTCTTTCTTCATTCTCCAAACCGAGTATTTTTGGAGAGATCCTTCCACATTTTAGTTTAAGTCAGTGGCTTTCTCGAGAGCTCTTGTCCATTATAAAACCTTACAGCCTGCAAGATGACAACATGATGGCCACAAAAAGCGTGTGCTCTGTAACCACAGCACATGCAAAGGAAAATTTAGACTAAAGAGAAGAAAGAAGCCACAGTTTTGCAGCAGGACAAAAAGTCAGTTTATTCCAAAGGACCTAAAACTTTTTTCCAACTGGGCACGAGCATTTCCAACTCACTCTCTGAGACGGTGCACTAGGATGCACAGTAGAAGCCAGGGGAAGAAATACTTGTCTAAGTGCAGAAACCCCAAGAACAAGCCAGCACCCACCCTCCAAGACACCAATCCGGCTGGCACAGGCAGTTCTGAGAATGCATGCACACAGGAGTCTTGCTGCCCAGATCATGCGTAAGAGACTCCAAAAATTGACTGATGAATGCAGAAAAGCTCCTGAGGAAGTAAAACATGCAAAAAAGGTTTGAGCTGAATTTATCATCAAGGTCCAAGTTAAAGCCTGATGAGGGGTTTAACTTGGTCTATTCAGGATGTGGCTGCAGGTATTGAGTGGTTTGTGAAGACTGCCTGCTGGCAATGTAATAATACAGGACCTAAGATCTGGACAAAAAGATTATTTTTGTAAAAAGAAAACTCTATCCTCTCCAACTATAAAGCTAGTCTTCACCATCTGTTTCCTAGTTTGGCTAAGTTTTAGATTCCCCCCCCCCCCCCTCTTTCTTTTCAATGAGCACCCAACTTATGCAGTACATTGTTTTTAAAACAAGCCCTGCTTATGAGGAAGAAAAGAAAGTTAGCATAATACTCACAGCACTCTGTTGGTCATCCAAAATTCAAACACTGATTCATTTTATTATCCATATTAGATGAAACACATTGCTTGAAGAACTATCCTGAACTCTGCCTCTATGAGCCATTAGTATTCATTTTTATAATCTTATTTCCTCTTACACATTACCATCTCGAGTAGCATTTTCTCGCAACGGTTATGTAAGGGAACACCCAAGGTACTGGCTTGCAAACTCTCTGCAGAATAAAGGGGAAGCCTGCTCAATATTTCTGAGGTACACATTCCTGAAACCTCATGCAAGAGTACCAAATATCATTTTTGATTTTTTTGTGGGTTTTACAGTCTTTTCCAGTTAGCTGTGTTGTTTTGCCACTGTGACAGAGTATTGCGGAATAGTGTGCCATGGCAGGGTATCTGGATACGTATGTTGTACTCATTAGGGAAATCAACCTAGGCACGGTTTTTTAATAACAGATACATTCACCTTCAATACCAAGAGATGAGCCAAGTTACTGTGTAATAACTGTTTATAACTTGTTACCTACATTTTTTTTATCAGATTAAGCCAGAAAGATGTTGCCTGTAATTTATTCCTAGATCTGTGGGTCTTTTTTCTTTTTTTTACCCCCAAACTATAGAGCACCATCTATATTCACTGTACACAGTAAGTTAAGAGATTAACATTTTTCAAATTTAACCTCTTGGACAAAAAGTGTACTAGTCTTTGGGAGTCCAGACTCTAGATGCTTCCCCGTGCTTTTCAATTAATATGGTATGAAGACGAATAGCAGAATATATGGGTAGGAGAAATTATTCCACAAACACAGGACAGATTTCACCTTCTCTGAATAAGATTAAAATGCAAAAGGAACAATCTGAAAAATTTGAAGTTTTAACACTTCTCTATATACTAGAACTTCTAACAGGAGCTGTTATTGTAAACAAGAAAAATAACCACTCAGGAATATTGTGACGTGCACCGCTACAGGTTTTTCCTGCATTTTAAACCCTTGTCCCAAAAAAACAGCAGCATTTCCCCCAAATGGTAATGACAGTGATAAATGATGTGTGCCATGCTGCTATTTGCTAAACATCAGCTGGTTAATACTGCACGTTGTTCACAGACACAGAGAAAGCTGTGGGTTTTAACCTCTTTGCTAGGGAAGAAAGGTCATGTAGGGAAGCAAACCATCTAAAGTCCAGGTGCTTCTCATAGAGCAGTGTAAAACCTGCTCTGAAAAATCTGCTTTTTACCAGTTCCTGAAACATAGGAGGTTCCCTCTGAACATCAGGAAACACTTTTTTATTGTGAGGGTGACCGGGCACTGGCACAGATTGCCCAGGGAGGTTGTGTGCTTTCCATCTTGGAAGATATTTAAAAAATGTCCAGACATGGTCCTGGGCACCCAGCCTGGCCTGAGCAGTGAGGCTGGTCCAGATGACTTCCAGATGTCCCTTCCAAGCTCAACCCTTTTGGTTCTGAGAACCTACAATACCACTCCTGGCAATTTCCAGGAGAGTACCTCAGTTTCCCCTGTTCATAAGAGCCAGGCAGCTCTGTCCCTGGACAATCAGCTGCTGGTTATCCTAATGATTGACTGACAAGAGGTCAAATTCAATACTTTAACTCAGCATGGTTAGGATGTCGGAGCATGGAAACAACAAACATGGAGAGAACAGTGTCTGGCTGCGTAGTTAGGGATTGCAGGTTTTTTTTTTTGGGGGGTGGGAGGGCAGGGGAGGATTAGCTTGTATTTAGGCAACAAGGCAGATTTTGAAAGTTTTGCTCTGCCTAAATGCTTACAAATTCCTCTTTCTTCATAGCTGCAGTGATTTAAAGCTACCTGTTAAATTAGGGCAAGCTTATTTCACTACTCTTAGATCAAACTTCAAAAGAACCTAACTGAACAAAGCAAGCCAGCTTTTCAGTGAGTTAAAAGTGTGCCCAGGTGCAACCCAAACAAACCCAGTACATCCACACTTTCTTCCACATCAATATGCATGATGCTTTCCCATTCATTTTTAAACCATGGAAAACAGGACATTAAAGATGAGCAAAGTTTCATTTTAAAGTCTTGTTTAAACAACATATCTGACTCGAATGTAATTCAGTAACTGTAATTTAAATCACTTCAGTCAGTTTGGGGCTGGAATATGCTACACCACAGTGCCTACAACATGGCAGTTTCAGCTCTCTTCTCAGAGGCTGGACCAAACTGTAGACCAGGGTTCAACTGCACTGCAACTGTGTTTGGCCATGTCTCTAGTACAGACTGCCATCTCAGGGACTGGAAAAGAGTGGCACAAGACAGACAAATTATAATCTGCTATGATCAAAAAGGTCCAAGCCAGCCCCCACCTATATCACCAGTGAGTCACAAAGGTAATTAAGAACTAAATTTAACACCCTGTCTCTGTGGGGCTGTAGCACAACTTCATACGCTTGTTGCAGCAGAATGGCCACATCTCCACAGCCAGAATTATGGTATGTCTTTAACACTCATGTTATCACATATGATTCCTGCTCCAGCCCAAAGTGCAAACTAGCGTTTAACTTCCCTCCTTCCCCACAGTTATTAAATATAAATGTTTCTTTTCAGCAAGACCAAAGGAGTAAAGGCTGCGGGAAATGTATCATGTATAAAAATAGTCTTATAATCAGCAGGGAATACAAAATACTTTCTTTTTCTTTTCATTTGTCTAATCTGTGCCCAGTACCGCAGACAGGAAGGTACAAACCATATCTGTTTAAGTGTAAAAAATATATACAACTATATTTAACATTTAAATTACTTTAAACACAACTGTTTGCATACTAACAATTTTCTGTACATTCAGATTTAAACATTACCTCTTCAATACCCTCTTCTTTTGTTAAACAAGTTTTATTTTCCTCCCAAAATAACCAATGCTACTTTAAAATTCTGAAGGGGGAAAAACTTGAGCTATATAGAAAATAGCAAGAGGTCTTACAATCAATGTATCATAGCACATATTTTTCATGAAAACAACACATAATTCAAAAACTGAACCACTGTAAAAGTTCTTGTAAGTCCAACAGGACTGTCTTTAAAAGGTTACTTTGGTTAACAGCAAATCATTCTTAAACAATTAAGGAAAAAAAATATATATTTACCACCTCTACAGATGCATTTCCTTGGCATGTAGTAGCAATCCATATATTTTTACCAGTGAGCACTGCAGTTGTTCAGCACTCTGTATTGTGTTTTCAATAAAGTTAATTAAATATCAGGTTGGATTGTTTTATAATTAAATCAGTCCAGCTTCCTAAGATCTCTGAATAAGAGAGCTCTCTTCCTAACATCTCTGGATATCAGAGAAAGAACAGCAACACTACTTCTTCCTCACAAGGTTGATCTTGTGCAGTACTTGCAACAGCATCACCAAGTTGCACAGAACCGCTGTTTCCCTGCCTATCTTTCCTAGTCAGGAGAGTAACAGAGTTTTTACTGAGCTCTACATACTATAACACACAGCCAGTCACTCCAGCCTCTGAGCATTCAAACAACTGAAGTGTCACTGGACTTCATGGTAATGCAATGATTTCCTGTGAGTCATTATGCATATATTTCAGGTCACATGTGGCCTCTACATCACTGAAATTTTACTTATTTCCAGGGGTATAAATGCCCTCAACTTGTGGCCAGGAAGAGGAACTTGATCTTTATCTGTCTTGCCTCCTTCCACTATGAAACCCTCTGATCCATGAAAAAAAATATCACAAACAAAAAGGCAAAAATGTAAGATTCTCCAGGAAAAGAATACCACGTTAGTCACTATGCATCAGTTAAGCTGAAAAGTAGAAGTCTGACTGATGAGCAAAGGCACTTGGTAACAGTCCTGTGGACAACAGTCAATGAGTCAACAGTTTCAGTCTTGTGATCCAACTGACCAGCAGCGAGGGCTCTGCAGAGGAAGATTTTGTAGACGATGTAACAGAGGATTTTTTAGCACCTTCCTCTTGAAAAGGAATTGTTGCACTGTTGTGGAGGTCTGTATTCATAAAACACCTGCTACCTCGAATATAATCCATTCCCCTTACTAACTGCTTGTCAGACACTGGCCTTGAGAGGGGGTGTTGCGTGGAGGGGCTTTCTTCAATGATTGGGGGTATCCTTTCATTACTGAAGTACCTGCAGAGGACATCTTCACCTGTATGAACAGGAGGAAGAAAACCAATTATTGCTGACTTCAAAACCCTCCATTAACATTTTTTATTTTCATAAAAAGATTCTGGTTACACTTCAAATTACCTAGATTTTCGTTACCTTTCCTAACATACGTGGACATAAGCAGCTGTCAATAGACTTTGTTTTTTGCATCTAATATTTTTTTAAGCAACACAAAGAACAACAAAATAAATTCACACACAGAGAGGATACCATCTCACTGTTAAAATTCCAGATTCACACACACCAAAAGTGCTAGTACACACTACCTTCATGGAAATCATTATCATGAATGAGACCTAAGAAACCTTCTCTTAATGTGTCATTCAAGACGCTGATAAACGAGAGCTGAATCCATGTTTAGCCGAATGTTACTCATGACTAACTGAAATACTACTCTGGGCAACAGAAATTATTTTTTCAGGTAAAGATATAAGCACTTCCCTAGTTTTGACCATTGATTTTGTGATGCTTTCTGTTTTTACTCTTCCCTAGACACCTGACCCTGGTGGCTGCTGCTAGAGATATCCTCCTGGGCTAGACATGCCTTTGTTCTGACCCAATACAGCTCATACACAAGTCTGCAGCAATTAAGTACATTTCAAGCATTAAAAAAGCCAACACAAAACCAAAAGCAAAACCAAACAAAAAACCATACACACAAAAACCAGCCCTGCCACCTGGTGATCATTCTGTTAGATTTGTTACTTAGTTTGTTTCTAACATCCCTCCAGGTTGATGCTTCTTGTTATCAGCTTCTATTTTTGCATTAAAATAACTGAATGCAGCTTCTATTTTCCCTAGAATTACACATTAGCTTTCATAACTGATTTAAAGAATAAACTAGTCACCCTTCCTTATTTCCCACTCTAACAGGACTCATAGCCTTTCAGATGCAAAAGGAGGAGAGGGAGAAAAGGCCAGTGGGGGAAGGAAAAAAAAAGCCACCCAACCTAACACCTGACATTATGAGCTTCTGTTTCTCTCTTATTCTGTGACATGTGCAGAATAAGTTGTTTTCTAACAGCAGTCACAGCAAAAAAGCAGCTTCTAAAAGGCCCTACATTTTAGTTTTGAGAACAAGTTTGCTTCTACAATAGCCTCCACAGTGAGCTAAGCAAACAGAACGATGTATCAAAAAAGCAGTATTATGATCAATATTAAACACAGAAGAAAGGGAAAGGGGCGTCTATAAAAGCAAAATGGTAAACCTGAGCTATAAAGAGACAAGTACAGATCTGCCCTAGCCTACTTTTAATCCTCACAAGAATTCTACGATGGGAGAAGAAAATGTTAAGTCCCAGCACTGAATAGCCTCACAAATGTCACAACTACCATCTGGCATTACTCCTAAACCAAATAATTGCTGAGTGGATCCAGGATGACAATATGAAAACACTAATCCTCCATTCCTAATTTAAACACTTCCATCCAGTTCACCCCAAGAAAATTTTGGAGAGGAAGGGAAGAGAAAAATCTGAGACCTAAAACCTTGCCTTTTCTCCCTGGTGCTCGTGGCCTAGAGAAGGGTTCTGCAGCTCCTATCCAGCTCCCATCAGCAGGCATTGATAAAGGACGAGGCTTTCCTAAAGGCAACATAGAAGGTTGAGGAATTACCTTAAGTATAGGAAACAATTTTTACATTTATACTTTTCACAATTAGCAAAGGGCAAGATACAGCAATAAGGAGTTAAAATTGCAGGAAAAAAAAGATTCAAGATACTTCTACTGGTGAAATATAAGAAAACAATGTGCTGAGATCGAACAGCCACACTCTAGCTCATTTTTGGTCATTGTGTCCACTGCTGCTTGTTGTAATCAAAACACACATGGAAACGGCCAACTGTAGCAGCAGAGCCCAGCTGAACGACATTTATTACAGAAATAACAGCATTTAAGTGAAATTATTTCAGATATGGAATTTCATTCACATTCCCAATTTGGACAGACTGCTCTTAATATCCATCAAGTCTAACAAGCAGTTTTCTAACACAAATTATTCCAAACTGACCAAAGTGCTTATCATAACACCAATAATGAAAGAGGAATGAGCTCACCATAGGACTGTGTTTTTTCCCTCATCTTGGCTGGTAGGATATTTGCTTCCATGGGATACCCAGGCAGCTGATCTGAATCAGCAATAGTAAACCTTCGCCTTCGACTCTCCTGATCCAGAAAAGAATTGGGAGACTCGGCACCCTTGGACCCAGGTAGTGGCTGACTGGGTTTGTTGCCTCCTCCATATACAAAACTCCCCTTTTCATCTCTGAAAGGACATTTCACTTCAGTTAGGAGCTTAAAAGAGTTTCACACTACAGACATGAGTAAGTTTAAAAGATAATTCTAGCATCCATTCATGTTCCTGACAACCAGCATTGTGCTGCAAACAAGCTTAAAAAAAAGTCAGCTGATGGAAGACTTCATTATAAACATATTTACCAAGGAGAAAAGAAAGCTCCCCCCCCCTCCATGCTGATTCACTTTTAATGAGCTTGTAATTTAACACACAGAGAAGTTGAGAGGTACTACCCCTTGAAAAACCTTTTGAGAAAGGAGACCTTTCTGCCCTGAGGGTATCAAAGCTCCCCATTCACTGCCTGTTCAGTACACAGTTGTGACAGAGGAGTGCATTGATAGATTTATCCATCTCTGTGTAATGGCAACACGTATTGCCTCCATCTGAGACGCTATGCTTTTCAGTCATTGTAAGAGACCAATAACTGCCACTGAATTCATCACCTCCTCTCCATCCAAAAGTGAGACCTCCATGAGAGTTTCAGTAATAAACTCAGTGTATATACACATGATTTTGAGCAATTTCTGCAGGAACTCCCTTCCCAGAGCAATCCTTCAGCCCAAAGGCCAGGAACAGCCATTTTTAGAACCAGTCCTTGTGAGTACTTACAGGAGAAAAGCTACCCTCCAAGTTAAGACTTGCCTGTACATGCTACAATCTTATTGCTTGAAGGAACCATCAGCCCAGTCAGGCATAAAAATACACAGCTGACCATCTAAGCACATACACACCCCAGTATTGACAACAGCCCCTTGGCCAGCGCAAACCACTTTTTCCAGCCCTCCATGAAGAACAATGCTAGAGCTCAGTGAATGGGAGGGAACTATTTATAGAGATTCAGGGACCAAAAATGGCACAGACGTGTTACGCCACAACCGTATGTATGCGGAGAGCTCTCCTACAACACCACCCTGTGGAGACTGTGCTGTGGGGAGGGAAACCAGCCACTGCTCTCTGCCTCCCCAGTGTGGGCCAGAGAAGATCCACGCCAGGAAGGGAAGAGAACAGGACGATGGTGGTGGGGGGAGAAATGGACACACAAACGCACCACAGGTTCAAGAGAAGAGCAAGACATGCACAGGTAAAATTAAATAGCCAAACAGAATGCAAAAGAACTGCCCTTTATCCTCTTCCTGGCTGCCACAGCTTTCCACGTTTTCTTTCTTAAAGTCAAAGGCAAGAAGCCTTCCCTTTTCTACACATCACCCAGGAGAAGTTCTACAGCTTGCACTGCTACTTCCTTCATTGTCAACAGGAATTCAGGTCTAAAGGCTTCTGGAGCTAGATACAATTCTGTGACTCTTTAAGAAGGATAAACTGAGCACATGCACATAATTAATCAATGTGCTTGAAACATCATGATTTAAGGAAAAGAGCAAGGCATTCTAAACTCAGCTGCTAAATCTATATGCTTGGTTTTATGCCAGGAGACTTTTTTTTTTTAAGAACTGAGCACACAAACATGAAAAACGGGGAGAGAGCAGGTCAGGGTGGTTCCAACTTCAGTAAAGAGAGTCTTCCTTGAGAAACCCTCTCCCCTGGCCCAGTACTGCCCCAAAGACTGCAGTAATACGCCCCATCTCTGTATCAGGCCTCACATGACAGGAAGCAAGCCCTCCTCCTACTTGACTCCTCCAGCAAAAGGTCAGAGTTTCTGTGATGGGCTATGTAAGTGTAACCTAAAGAGTCAGGGCAGGCCAGGAAGCATGCCTTGCCTGAAAACTCTTTTCTCCATCACCTTCCCAGGTCAGCTGGCACGGTTCTTGGCTTGAGTCAACATGAACTTGAGAACAAACAAAAGCTAGCCATACCATACACCCCCTCGTGCTTTTTATAGCTTATACAGCACAATAAAAAAAAAAAAAATGGAATTAATTGACTCTCCCTTCCTTTCAGTGGGAACGTTACTGTTTTATACAACTTGCAACTTTACCAATTTAAAATGAGTTATTTTCTATCCTAAGTCCCACAACAGTTACTTAACTTGCTGAAAAAAAAACAACTGTGGAAAAAGTTACAGACAAAAATGTATTCTTGCAGTTGGATTTAAACAAAATCAAAAACATAACCCCACAACAAACCCAGGGATGACACCCACTCATGTTTTGGGAACAGCTCTGATGTATATGGCACACAATAATCTTCTAATAATAAAATCTATTACAATCCTGGTATTTATGCATTTAAGCATAAACAATCCTATGCATTTAAGCAACTAGAAGAAAGTCAGTGAAATCTGCAGTTTCCTTAAGCTAATAAGCACAGAACTCTAGCAGCAAGCCAGCTCAGAAAAAAGTGTAATAAAGGAGTTTTTTGTTCAGTAGTGCATATTGATTTGCATACCGAGGAGAATATGGAACAGCTGGCGGAGGTGGTATGTACAGATCCAGGATGGCTGGCTTCTCTTTTTTCAGTGAGGTATCCATGGTGCTTTCTGGTAACTGGACTGAAGTTGGTGGAGGACTGGTCTGAAATCAAACATCTGAGCATTGATTTATCATTCACAAAAAGATAATCCAATAATTAATAGTACCATTTCATCCCCTAGTGAACTACTATTTCTGTGCTTAATAAACACATTATAAACTCTTAGCATTTAGATTTTCCGCCTCCCCCAGTTTTGTCTAGCTTTGCAGTCCCTCCTACAAAAATCCTATCACAGGTAATAATACATTGCTCAATAACATTTTGCTCTTTCCAGTTCTATTTTTCCTGAAAATTCCATAGACAGAAAAAGCAACAGAGACAAAACCCCTTCTATTTTTAGATCCATTAAAAGAATGCAATTTGTTAAATACAGATATGTTCTGCAACACTTAAAGCCAGCTCACGCTACCCTTAGTCCATACAGTCCAATGCCTGAGGCATGGGCAGCAATATGGTAAAGTTCACCACAAATGGCATCAAGGGATATAACTAGGGTAAGGGAAGCAAAGGAAAAATATATTTGGTATTACTCATCTGAGCAAGTTTGCTATTTTGTTCTTTGTGGCTCAATTCCATGTCCCCAGTATCTTGCCAAGCACCTGTCTGCCTCTAGGAAAGCAAAGGCTTGAAGGACCCTTTCACCTTTGACAGGCAAGAGGACCGCACTCCTTGATTCCTTGACTTTTTGTCAAGGACCTGCCCAGGCCTTCCCTCTGGTCACTCAGTTAATGGCACCCCTGCACAAGCATCTGCCTTTCACCAGGCAGTACACTGGAACCCAGAACTGTCAACAAGCTTCTCCAATCACTCACTCCACGAAAGAAACAATGCTTGGCAATGTCTATATTCCAGCCCACCTCAGCTCTTCACACCAGTAACACAGTCCTTGCCTTGGGTAACCCTGGAAAACTCACACAGTGGTGGTGGTTTTTTTTTCCCTTGGGTTCTCATTAAATGACAGGCATGATGTCACAAAAACAAGACACAGGTAATGGTGAAAGGAAGGATGAGAAAGGAGTCAAGTGTGCATCTTCTACCCAGTTTGACAGAAATCTCCCTGCATCAAGACTTGTGATAGTCACTGGCATTATCCTCACTGTGGGAAGGCTGTAGGGAGACCTGTGTCAAAACAGGAATAGGAATGGGAGGACTCCCTGGTTTTATTTCAGGTAATTCAGTTTAGATTCAGTTAGGTTATTTCCTCCTGTAAGCATTAAGCCCTAAGCTTCCTAATAAAACAAGCCATTCCTCAACATGGTTATTTAAGAGTTATTAATGTCACTTTCTCTGCTTATTACCTAATCTGTGAATTGCCCAACAACCAAATCTTATTTAAACAAGTAGTTTAAATAACTTCTTGAAAAACACTCAC